TTACACTGCAATATGGTGTCAGAGCATTAGATACCGATAGTAATTCCATCGCACCTAATCCTACTGACACTGCATCGCATATCTTGGGGTGATAGAACATCAGATAGGCCCATCTGATACAAATATCTTGGCAGTGATGCTATTACATGGCCATGTGGGCCAGTCTGTGGTTCCATTGCTCTAGTGGCAGGGCCTGCTAATTGGCTCCTGTCATAAGTATACTATGCTTATGACTCTTGAAACTGAGCCTTAGGTGTGACTTACTTGTTACACTGCTCATTACCTATGTTACACTATGTTCCTACATGTGTACATTACTTACTACACTTATTCTTCTTGGTCACCATGTGTGTGCCTATCTGGTTTCAGTCTGTGGGACTGCTATGCAGTCCTCAGGGCTGACATCTGAATCCAGCCAATTACAAATGAACGAGTAATCAGAAAGATGATGTAATGAGAATAGAAATCCACAACAAGTACCAATTACCAATGCTGTTATTTATAGAATGAAAGGCTATGACCCCTGGTCTGAGCTCCAGACCTTCTGTCTTCCATTCCACCAAATGGGGACAGTTGGTTTTGGATATTGGCAGCACTGTGTGCAACCAATACATGTGCCACTGCCAAGATATTTGTATCGGATGGGCTTATCCGATGTTCTATCACCCCAAGATATGCAATGCAGTGTCAGTAGGATTAGGTGCGATGGAATTACACTGCAATATGGTGTCGGAGCATTAGATACCAATAGTAATTCCATCACACCTAATCTTACTGACACTGCATCGCATATCTTGGGGTGATAGAACATCGGATAGGCCCATCCAATACAAATATCTTGGCAGTGTGCACATTCCTAACTGGGCTCTTTCCATGAGATAGTTCCTTTCATTCTCTTGACAGGCTCAAATGGAACAAGGTTTCATTTGACTGTACATGTGAGAATGAACTGATGAAAAAATAGATTTAGAGAAATGAAATCAAAATGAGAAACATATAACATACCTTGAAAGTCCACTAAAGCAAGTTCTCAGTTTAAGTATAGATATGCTACAGTATGAAGACTGGTTGTTACAATACAGTAATTACATTTACTACTCATTATTACAAGTTTTCATGTATTCACAGTTAAAATATATACAGTTAATAGACACAGTACTGTGTGTAAGTTACAGTACTATATGTAAAAGTGATTACAGTTGTGATTGCATATGTAATGTTATCAGCCCTGTGTGTAGAAAGTGATTAAAGTACTGATATCATGTGTAATGATATCAGTACAGTATGTATATCCCATGTCCTTTGTCAGTCATGAGACAATCTGGTTTCTTCAGATTGTGCCATGGCTGACTGAAAGTCAATGGTGTACTTATCTGACATCATGAACAATTCAGTTCATTGATTATTTACAAATATTGACAACATTCTAGTTTATAAATATATATATGAATAACTGAAACCTACTTGACAGCCATGGCACAATCTGAGTAAACCAGATTGTCTCATGACTGACAGAGTACATATAATTTACATACAGTACTGATAACATTACATATGGAATCAGAACTGTAATCAGCTTTGCATACAGTACTGTATTCATTCACTGTAAATATTTTATTGTAAGACATGAACACTTGTATTTATGAGTATTAAATGTAGTTACTGTACTGAAACAATCAGTACTCATACTGTAGCATTCAGATGCTTCAAATGGGAAAGAGCTTCATGGACTGGACACTTGGATATGTTTTGTTGTGATTTCTATTCCCCTTTAAGATATCTCTTTCTCTTGTTTTTTCATGTATTTCTGGTTTTGTGATCATTTAGACAGACCCATATAAATCAGTCACATGATCAAAGAAGACACACTGCCAAGATATTTGTATCGGATGGGCCTATCCAATGTTCTATCACCCCAAGATATACGATGCACTGTCAGTAGGATTAGGTGCGATGGAATTACTATCGGTATCTAATGCTCTGACACCATATTGCAGTGTAATTCCATCGCACCTAATCCTACTGACACTGCATCGCATATCTCAGGGTGATAGAACATCGGATAGGCCCATCCGATACAAATATCTTGGCAGTGACAAGTCTTGTGGTTTGGGTTCCAGTTGGACTGTGCACATGTATTGGTCACACACAGTGCTGCCTCATCTAAAACCAACTGTCCCCATCTGGTGGAATGGAAGACAGGCACCACCAAGAAAAATGCATCACATAGAGGCATGCTATGTCACATAGCAGGCCAAGATGCGATGCAATAGGTCTATTTTCCAAGGTAGGGACCTTGAAAACTGGTCCATAGCATCACATGAATACATGCTATGTTACATAGCAAGCCTCCATGCGATGAAAATATGTTGGCAGTGAGGATATCTAGTCTCAAGATCTGTAACTTGGTTGACTTATTCATCAATAACTAGATCAGAAGTACCAGTTATATTACAATAAGACCTCAATTGGTGTGTAACATAACCCACTCTCTGACACTACTCAAGTTAAATGCTCACCATGGCATAGCCCTACCATGTTTTACTTGTAAAATTAATTACACAATGATCTTATATTATTTTTCCATATTTCCAAGCTCACATCAATTGCAAAGGTATATGTTTGATATCAAGTGCATAATCAGATAATAAGTAAAGAAGTGCAACATAGAATAATTTGGATATATATAGAGAAAGAAAACATAGAAAATTGAAACATAGAAAAAGAATGTTGAAATACAGTGAGACACGTATAGGGAAGCATGCAAGTTTCATATGCTTATACATGACACACTCTCTCACTCACTCAACCTCCTCATCCACTCCTTGACTTACTCTTTCCCCAAGCTGAAGAACAGCATGGAAAGAGTAAGTTCCTCCGTTCACCTCTCTCTCCACATTTCACTATTACCACATCCATCTGCTCCATATACATGTCTTTCTCTTTACCCTCACATTCACATCTGATGCCATTGCTTCCAAATTGCACTGTTCAGGATAAAACATTTCCTTTTACTCTCTAGTATCCCAGGCTGATCAGTGTACATGCTCGCACCTAGGTTAG